CCACGCATATATAATCATTTTTTTGGTCGCTGCGTCGTTTTCCAGGTATTCCTATATACAGTGAGCGTCAATATAAAATTAACACTTAAAAATTTTCAACTTTTCTTTGAAATAATTTAAAAAGTATAAAAGGCAACAAAAAAAACGGTCACATAATATTAAAAGCTCAACCTGTTTTATAAAAACATATATATTTTTAATAAGTTAATAATAAACAAACTTATAACGCAAAGAATAAAAAAGTTCTTTTTTCTTGAGTCAATATAAAATTAATATCTATAGGTAATAATAATTATTTCTCCTTTTTTTTGTATAATTAATATTTTGTTAAACTTCCCTTGTTTTTATAACTTCGATCAATCTATTTTTCATAGATTTGACCAACAAGGAGGCCAGGTACCAACCTGCATAATTTGCAGGAATTTGGTTCCATTTTTCTAAAAGGGCTTTCTTAATACTTTCTTTTGACACAATTTTTATTTTCTTTATTCTTCGATCCAGATAATCCCATAGATGTTCTATGAGATTAAGGTCTGGGGATTGCGAAGGATGTTTTGTTTTAGCGTAGTGTAAAGAAGTCATTTTTTGCTATGCGTAATGTATGCTTCGGATCGTTATCATTTTGAAAAATCCACATTCTCGATAAATTCAATTTCTTAATGCTAAACTCTAAGTTTCTCCGCAATATTTCAACGTAATCCTCCTTTTTCATTGTATCCTCAATGAACACAAGACTTCTAACCCCGGAAGCAACCATACATTCCCAGACCTTCCCAGATCATAGATCCCCCTCCCTGTTTAACAATATGGATCAAGTTCTGTTCTTTCAAAGCACTATTTTTACTTCTTCATAGTTTCGGCGGTTTTCTGTCTTGATAATATCATTATAAATTTCAAATTTACTCTCATCAGTAAAGAGAATATCATCAGAAAGATTCATCATATTTCAAGTGGTTTTTGGCATACTGGCAACCGTTTCTTTCTATTCATCTCAGAAATCAGTGGCTTCTTTCTCGGAACTTTTCCAAATAATCCTGCTCTATACTTGCAGTGTTCTATGGATTGTATTTGCATTAATCGTTTTTCTTTTGAGATTACTCAGATTTTCCACTATTTTTATAGCACTCGAAAAAGGATTTTGCTTTACTTTTTTGCAAATCTATCTCACATCATTCTCATTCTCATTTTTTTGGTCATCATTTATGATCAATATTGCGTAACAATCAAAAGGTTATTGTATTTGTCAATGACTTTTTTTATAGTATCATACAGCTTCTTTTTACAACTTTAGCAATTTCGCTTAAAGATTGTTTATTTTTATGCATTTCGATTATTTGATGCTCTTCAACCGTTATTTGCTTATCCATTTCAAAATTACATAAATAATATCTCGTTCTGTTGTTTTCATAAGGAAACAATATGTAACGGGGATTTCCCGAGATCATATTATTGAACTGTGATGCCAACATAACCAAAAATGGTTGCAATAGTTATAATTATTTACATGAAAACAAGGGTGTTAACTTATATTGACTCAAGAAAAAGGGAACTTTTTTGTTTTTTACGTTATACGTTTGGTTACTGTTAACTTATTATTAAAAAAATATATATTTTTTTATAAAAGATAGATTGAACTTTCAATATTATGCATCGTTTTCCTGTTTTCTTTCATACTTTTTAAATTATTTTAAAGAAAAGTTGAAAATTTTAAGTGTTAACTTTATATTGAAGCTCACTATATATCCATGGTGTGCGTGTCATTAATATAGATATATACGATCTACAGTTTTACGCCATTTCCGAGTGGCTCAATATAGGAATCTTATTTGGTAAATATAGAAAACGGAGTTTCATGACCTTGACATATGTTGCTATCACTATCCTGAGTGATCTTGAAAAGATTTTAAATGGCGATCACTATTCGTTAAAGTTATTTAATTAACAAAAAAAAAAAGGATAAAATGAACAATTTATTCATCAGTAACATACAATTAGTTATTTTATAATATTATTATTAAATAAATGCATTATTAATCACGATATGATAAATAGAAACGAGCCATGATATTAAAAAATGTACCAATACATTTAAGAAACCTGTTGCGTGTGTTGCGCTATGTATATGTACTTTGAACAAAAACACAAATTCTCTGCTTTAAAAACAAAAATCATTTTCTTATATAAAATAGGAGATTTGTATTTTAAAACAGAGAATTTATGTTTTAAAGTGTGTCAATTATCGACTAACTGCATATCGACTATCGATTATCGACCATCGATTATCGACTATTCACTATCGACTATTCATCACTAATCGCATATAGATTATCAATTACTTTTAAAACTAAGAATTTGTATTTTAAAGCAGGAAATTTATGGTTTAAAGCAGAGAATTTGTGTTTTTAAAACAAAAAAATAGTTTGGTATTTAAACTTTACATACTTTTTTTACGTGGATTGACATTTAAATCTAACATTTCTTTAAAATATACATTGTAACTATACACACGGTTATATCGTTGCCCTCTAAATTCCTATAAATTGAAAAAAATATGTTACAAATATTTTATAACGTATAATTTAATTAATTTATTAATTATGGTTAATAAAATTATCTTATAATTTAAATAAATAAATCTGTCATGAATTTCGCCTTTCCGAATTTTTGTATATGCTTCTTTTAATGTGAAAGATAAAATGTCGTGCAAAAATTTTTTCCGCAAAATTTTTATAGCATTTAAATACGCGAAATTAACCAGTATCATTCGTTTATGATTTGATTGATAAATTATTGATGAATAAATTGGTCACTTTATCCTCAATAACTTTTCAAGGAACAGTGACCGCCATCTAAAAAATCTTCTCAAGGTCATTCAGAGTAGTGCTCTGAATGTGTCATGGTCGTTGGACTCCGTTTTTCTATATATTTATTAAATATTTCTCTACAAGTATTGTAAAACATATTTCTCTACAATTGAAACATTGAAGAAGTCCAATTCTTTTTTCATAAATTATATAAAAAATACATAATTCTTTTAATATGGAAATTTGGGAACACATTTCATTAACATTTAAAAGTATAGATTTTTATTAGACGTTTAAAATATATTTAATAAAAAATATAAAAAATATAAATATAAAAAAATATTCACATTTTTTTATACTACAATAATTTGTACGTTCAAATTAAAAGAAAAATTTGAAGAAATAAGATATAAAAATGAAGAATGTTCTCGTCATATAAATCAAGTTTTATACATGTTTACATAAACAGTTTTACACCGTTAAGCTCGGAAGATGTGATGAAATCATAATATATAAATTATGAGAAATTTTAAACTAAATTTTCTCGTGAATATTTAAGGATTACATTGAATAGTTTTGTTATGTTAGTAAAAATATATCGCAACATATCTCAGGCTAATTCGAAAGGACAATTTTTGATATTCTCCTTGTTATATAATTACTTATTTTATAGTAAAAATAAACAATTTTTAATAAAATTGAAGTGAGTCTTTTATTTTGTTTACAATTTATTTTCAAAAATTTATAACATTTTAATGTTTAAACATTTTTATATTTATTTTGAACGTATTATTATATTACGTTATGAAAATATTATTTTTGGCCTTCATTCTGAATATAAAATGTAACATTTATTTCATAGTGCATGACATGCAGATATATATTTACAATATTTCTAATTTATTTTTCAAATATGTGTTTTTTGAAGTAGTTTTATTATTTAGTGTTTTCGAAATAATCGTAATGAAAGAAAGCGACTTTTCATGAAAAAATAAATAAAAAATATACAATAAAATTTTTCGGACTGTTTTCAAGAAAATTGAGTTTGAATATTCGTCAAGTACGCGTGCTTAGTTAGCCATCATCTGCTTGGTCACCTAATCTAACTATTCACTGATATTTCTAATTATATTTGTAAATACATTATCATTAGTTCATGCGTCTTTATCAAACAAGAAATTTTTTTGTGACATAAAGAACAACATATTCAATAATTTCTCCATTAATAAAATAAATATATTATTAAAATTTATTGTATTTTAAACTATATTAAGTACAGACTGATATAGAAATAGTGATAAATCACATTGGGTAAATCAAGCAAATTATAGCAGTAAAATGCACATCTAACGAATATTTAAATTTAATTTTTCTCGGAAAGAGCTCTATATGAAAAAATTTGATTCTATATTTTCGATTTACTTTTACATGAAAAATCATCTCTTTCAATTAGCATGATTTCGGAAGCATCTTGTAGAAACATGATTGTATTTTATATTAAATTCTCATTAATTCATAATCTTATAAAAATTACGAAATTTTCAACAATTAAAGCTAGAAGTATCTTAAAAAATTCAATATTTTTAAAAAATTCAAATATACTGTTAAAATATATTTGAGGCCATAAAATTCTATTTAAAATATTGTTTTTATATCATTTCTCTTATCATTTCGACGATATTTCCTCAGAAAAAAAGAGCTGATTTTTTTTTAAAGAGATATTTTACCTCTTCAATTTGCTTCAATTTGTTTCAATTGGATAGTATTTTTTACTTTTGTTTATATTACAATATGTTTTAATTCATATTATGTTAGTTATACATTAAGTTTATTAAAATTTGAGAACATTTGAATACCTTTCTTGAGTGTTTAACACTCGTCTTTTTTACAAAAGATGACTCGTGAGATACTTTATATATATTTTTATGCATAAGTGCATATATATATGGTTTTATATTAGAATTTTGATATAAATATTAATATTAATATTAATAAATATAAATATTGATTATAGTTAAAACAATTATTTAATTTATATACATTTAGCATACAAATAAAATACATATTTTTGGCAAATATATATTATTATATTATATATAAAATAGAATAAAATTTAACAATAATAATTACAGCCGATATATGTTTCAAACAATTAGACAATAGATGGCTTCCATCGGCAGACTAGATCTTCGTGTCGAATAATTTTTATTTTTCTGAATTTCAAGACAATGCTTATCGCAAACTACGTATCGTTAATTCATCCTTTCCCTATTAAATCGATAATCAAATTTGAAATCAATTAATCCCCGACTATTGAAAATTATTTTATTACAAAAATATTACTCCAGCCAGGAAGCCATCTTAGAGTAAAATTTAGAGAAATATAATTGTATTATATATTTACCTGCAAAATAGCAGGTGTATCTGCACTACTGATTAAATATCTCGGATTTTCCCATACAATATTCTTCACAGCTTCTAAATCTCCATCCTCGATCAATCTTTTAAAAGCTATAAATTCTTGTGTTTTTGGTGCCCTAAAATTATTTGATTGTTCTTGTATCATTGCAGTTGTTGTGGAATGATTGCAAGAACATTGTTTATATCCAGTCTTTGCATACGCTACAGCATCAGAATAATTTTTAAAACTTTTTAAACGGCCTTTCTTATATGTGTTAATTACTTTTAAAGCAATCTGCATCTCTAGATAAACATGAAGAATTTCTGCAAGAAAAAATCACATAATATATAATGTATAATAATAACGAAAAAAGTTAATTAATATACAATTAAATTTATTTTTTGAGATATATGTTGTTAGTACTATTCGTGTTGGGGTTACCCCCCATTGACCGTCTCCCCGGGATCGGGAAACGCTTCTTAAAAGGTGGTACCGGAAAAATGAAATACCCAGGATGAACCAAAATTGGCACTGGGTGATGATAGCTAGTTACCCAGTATAGACCATGAATCTGTCGTCAAAAACAAAGGAACACTGGAATACTAAGGCTTCTATACAACAGTGTAGAAGGCAACGGGAAACCACTACATTAAATTTCCCAAAAAATCTAACCGAAAATGAGATGGAAATGAGAGATGTGATCAGTCAAGCGATCCGACTGACAATCAGCGCCAACCCAGTTCCGAATCGGGCGGTGTGAAATGGACTACCGGGCATGTGGCAATGAGAGAAATCGGGTTATACATGCGAAATGGGCGATTGGAATGCCTGATGTCAGGAGGCGAGTTTTTTGGAGGCGAAGCAGATTCACGACTTGGAACGTGCAGGGATTAGTATAGCACTCTGGCAAATTGCGAATAATAGAGAGAGAAATGGAAAGATATCGTGATATTGGAGTATGGTGGAGACTCACTGGAAGGGTAAAGGATACTTTATCAGTAGATCAGATAACACCATATTTATATTTTTCTGGTCATGATAACGAAAGCAAGAACGGTGTGATGATAATTGTTCGGAAAAGCTGCAGGACTCTGTACGAATTTAACACTATAAGTGATAGAATTATTCAGGTCAAGTTGCAAGCTGTTTCAAATGTGATAAATCTGATCCAGATTTACGCGCCGACGGCGGCAAAAGGGGAGGAAGAGATCAATGTATTTTTCGGAAAACTAGAAGAAGAGCTTCGCGCTACACTAGGTCGAGAGATGGTGGTGATCCTGGGTGCCAAATTTAATGCCAAAATTGAGTCAGCAAGCTCAGATCTCCTAAGACAGATTGTTGAAAGTTTCAGTATTAGAGAGAGGAATAAAAGAGGAGAGAAACTTAGATTTTTGTCTATAACAAAAGCTCTCCATAAATAAAAAAGCTCTCCATAATAAACATACTTTCGACAGCATCCTCGGAGATTATATACATGGAAGTCACCAAGGGACCGTTGCAGAAATCAGATCAACTTCCTTTTAGTGAGCATAAGATGGAAATCATCTGTATTGAATGCCAAAACACATCCGGGGGCAGATTGCGGAAGCGACTATTAACTACTGACAATGGATTTTAGACTCCGGTTTAAAAGAATACATAAGCGTATCTTGAGATTATCCAGAATGACCAAGACAGAATTGGAAAAATTTAGGGAAAGCATAGGGACTGCTATGCCGACCGGAGAGCTGTCGATCCTAGGGAAAGTATAGATACAGCATGGGGAAAAATAAAATCCACAATAATAAACACTGCTATTCAATGTCGTCAGTCAGGCCATCCGTAAGCCATGGATAAGTAAGGACACATAGAAAACAATTGAACAAAGGAAAACGAGCAAACCTAAATCTGAACTGTGTAAATGTGAACTAAGGTTATATGAACAATTGTTCAGAGAGATTCAGCGATGTCGCAAGGACAAGAAAAAATATATAGCAGACATTTGTCAGGAGATTGAAAGTCATAAACATCGAAACCAAACTAGAGATTTCTTCAATAAAATCAAGCTCCTGTCAAGAGAATTTAAGCCGAAGAATGATAGAAAGTGACGGTCATGTGGAAACGGATTAGGGAAAATATTAGAGGTATGGAAAAATTATTGCTCAATGTATAACTGTAAAGGAACCAAGATGAGGTGAAGATGAAGGGGCAGATCTCGCGGATGCTGAGCTGGAACTCGATATCATGCTGTCAGAGATCGAGAAGGCAATTAAAGCTGTGAGGGAGAAAAAAAAGTACCACTGTTATAGCATTGCAGCAGAGATTGGGAAATGAGGGAAACCAGGTTGATGACGGTACTGTGCAACAATATATAGAAAGCTAGAAGATGGTCGGCGGATTGGGCGACGTCTATAGTAATCCCAATTCATAAGGAAGATCCAACTATGAAATGTAGCAACACGGTCTCTAATTTTGCACCCTAGCAAAATTCGATTAAGAATACTCCAACATCGTATTCAACCTTACCTTGATCGATAGATTCCTCAGGAGCAAGCGGGTTTTGTCAAAGGTAAAGAGACAAAGAAGCAAATTCTTAACGTACGCAAACTTATTGAGGACGAGAGTTTGGAATCCTAATGGTAATATGCTTCCTGGACTATCAAAAGGCATTTGATTGTGTGGATGCTGTTGGAAAGTCCTGGTCGAGATGGGAATTCCAAAACATTTTATGCTCCTAAAAATCTCTATAAGAATTCCGCGAGGGTACGCATTGAGTCAGTAGACTTCTCCACCTTTAAAATCGAGAGAGGAGTGCGCCAGAGATGCGTTTTGTCTCCTAGGCTGTTTAACATCTATGGAGAACATATAATGAGAGCAGCTGGATGGATGGGATAGAGGAATAATGATTGCGGACAGGAAAATATTAAATCTAAGGTACGCAGATGACATCACACTAATCGCGGCGTCAGAGCAAAAAACAATACAATTGCACCAAGTGGAAATGGAAGATAAGAAATATAGGCTCGATATTAACAAACGGAAAACCAAAATCATGATAATCGATCACTTTTATTCGACGAGTGTGATGGATGATCATGAGAACGTTGAGAAGTTCGTGTACTTGGATTCGCTCATTATGGTGAAATGGTGGTACTAATGACGGTGAAATTAAAAGAAAAATCGCTCTGACCAAAAGTGCGGCGACTCGTTTAAACAGAACATGGAAGAGCCGAATTATCTCTATGGAGACAAAGGTGAGACTTGTGCGCACACTTGTGTTTACTATCTTCGCCTATACAGCCGAGACGTGGATAATAAGATCCTCAAAAAGAAGAAAAATAGACGCATTTAAGATGTGATGCTGGTGGCGCATATTCCGCATCTCACGGCTCGCAGAACAAATGAATCCATACTCCGCGAATTAAAAATCAGAATAGCTACAGAATGTTTGAGGAAAACTGCAATTTTTTGGGCGACATTGTACGACGTGATGGGGACAACTTAGAGCGGCTAATAGTGTCCGGATAAATATAGAGGGCCGCAAAGCCAGGAGTCGCTCGCCTACACGCTGGACTGATCAGATGCAGAGAGTCACGATGAAGGGGTTCCAGGCGAATCTGAGAAAAGCTGAGGATCGCAACCAGTGGAGGGAAATAACAAATCATCTGGAAACGGATCAAGATCCTCAGACAAGAAGAAACGACTGAAAGAAAGAATTACTACTATTACTAATCAAATAAAAGATTATGTATCCAGTGATCTTCGAAATGTTTAATTTTACTAATTTTTACCAATTATTAAACATTTTTTGTGCAATATTAACACAAGATTTAAATAATAATTTTCAAATTTTTACAAAGTATATACAAGTAAAAAAGACAGTTTAAAACGTCAATTTTGGCCATGAACGGAAACCTTTAAAATCTATGCAGTTCATCATTTTGATTATCATACATTCATGAAAGAAAGCTCGTTTACTAAGAAAGTTTGGAAAATACAAAATAAAAAAATAAGCTATGTGAACGATTTGCAAAACAACATATTTTGCTTCCAATAAAAGTTAATAAATTTTAAAATTAAGATGTTTATATTTAATACATGTTAACACATCAAATACTATAAAAATACACTACCAGAATACTATTACAATTTATAAATGTGTGTGTGTGGGGGAGGGGCGTGTGTATGTGTGTGGGTGGATGCGCGCGCGCGTTATTACCCTCTTATATCATCTTCGAAATCATAAAACCTTTTAACAAAACATTTTTCAATATAAATTTCCTTAGATTTTAAAAAAATCAATGCGTCGATTAAAACAACTCACTTTTATATGTGCCCATATAGGATTTGCCAATTTTTAAAGGCAAATCCTGTATGGGCACATATAAAAAGTGAGTTTGTTTTAATCATTCAAAAATCTCAGTAA